CCCACCCCCCACGCCCCACCCCCACTGTAACCTACCCCGCCACAGTTCCTCAAGGGGGACTGACTGTCCCTACAAGAATGTTGTTGGGAGCACCTGGACACCCCCTTACAGAAGGTTGCGGGGAGGAGACGAGCCAGTCAGAGTGCGGTGTAGCAACAATGAAACATGCAACTTTCCTTAGTTCTTTAATCCTTCCTCCACTCCCACTATCATGATCCCAATTCCACCTTACAAGTCTGGCTAGACCAGGGGATGTACACTGGTACAGATAAGAACTGGAAACACAGGGAATCCAGGAATACAGATAAGAACTGAAAACACCCCTTCAGGACCAGTGGTGAGAGTGGCGATACCGGGAGGGTGGAGAGTAAGTGGGGTAGAAAGGGGGAACCAATTACAAGGATCTACATATAACCCCCTACCTAGGGGACAGACAACAGAAAAGTGGTAAAGGAAGACATCGGACAGTGTAAGACATGACAAAATAATAATTTATAAATGATCAAGGGCTTGTGAGGGGCGGGGCTAGGGGTGAGGGAAAAAATGAGGAAGTGATACCAAGGGCTCAAGTAGAAAGAAAATGTTTTCAGGATGCTGATGGCAACAAATGTACAAATGTGCTTGACACAATGGATGGATGGATTGTGATAAGAGCTGTATGAGCCCCCAGTAAAATGATTTAAAAACAAAAGAGAATGTTGTCGGGAAACTTTACCCCATCTATCTTACAGCCCTGAGCTTCTTTTTGATCCCAAACCTCAAAGACATTTCTAAAGAACATGGTTTGAGTCCCTTAAGGATGCCAAAGCCCAGCAGAGTTGGAGAAAGTGCTACAGGAGGATTGTTGGTGTCAGAATTGGTAAATAAATAAGCCCTTTTGGCTCTCTGCACAGTATCATAGTGGTCAGCGAAAGGTGGCCAAAAAAAGAAGCTCAAAGGAAAGTGATTGATGCGTTTTCTAAGAATGATTGGTATGATGTGAAAGTACCAGCTATGTTCAATATAAGAAATATTGGAAACCACTAGTCACCAGGACTCAAGGAGCCAAAGTTCCATCTGATGGCGTCAAGGGTGGAGTTTTTGAAGGGAGCCTTGCTGATCTGTGGAATGATGAAGTTGCATTTAGAAAATTCAAGCTAATGACTGAGGTCAAGCTGTGCTCCGTGGTCAAAAACTGGCAGCCTGGGATGGAAGCGCATGTCGATGTCAGGACTACCAACAGCTATCTCTGGCCGTCTGTTTTGTGCTGGTTTTAATGAAAAACACAACAGTCAGATT